GGGTAATGACTCCGGTATTAACTTTCCCAATTTAATATTTTTTATAATTATATTCTTTAAATTAAATATATGTAAAAAACCTTAAAAAATGTTTCCCGATTGCATCAATTCCTTGGCCTCTTGTGTGCAACACTTTTCACACACATTCCGAAATTGCGGTGAACGGAAAACAACAATGGGATAACTTATTGGCTTATTGCCACACCACCAACACCACCACAAACCCGCATTACATGATGATAGGATACCGCCTTCTCCTTTAAGCCCACCCGGAACCGTGAGATGATGCCTTTTGGGTAGGCTCTCTTCATTTTCCCTCCGTTATCGTATCGTAGCGGTATCGGACACGAGAATGGAAAGGGAGGAATCTCATCTCACCTTCATCATCATCATCATCATTCTTACCATAACGCAAAACCCCCCCGACAACCTGACCCGCCTTAACCCCCTGACCTGACCCAATCTTCTCTCCACGTTTCCCAACAAATCCCATCCCATCCATCCCATCGTGTTACATCCCACGTGTGATGTCGTAATAGCCTCCCTTGTCTTTTTCTTTTCTCCAGACTTTCTCCCCAAAACTCCACACACGATCTGAACTCTTGATGTGGATTTGTTAAAACGAAATTCGGCATTCCCGTTCGTGGCTTAGTAGTTTGTGGGGTTTTTGGAGGCCCTTTACTCGTTTCCTGCCTGGTCCGGGGCGGTGTTAAAAAAGCCAGGGAATGAATGGTAACTTTACAATCTGACGTGAGTTTGTGTGTGTAGTGTAGCATGTGGCTTGCTTGCTCCTCAAGAAAATAACCATGTAACACAGTTTAAACGTTAGTTTTTGTTGGTTGCGTGTGAGTGTGTGTGTGTGTTGTGTCGCCGTAGTCGGAGGGAAGGGGGAGGCTGAGTCTAAAATAGGCAACTTTTTTTTCAGTCATCCTATTTTAAATGTTTGATGGAAATCTGGAATGAGGGGAAATGTATCACATGAGCTTTTGCTGAATACGCCCTTGTGTATGCCACTTTCCTATTCTTTTTACGAAACGGGGTGTATACTCAAGGCAGCGAAAGGTGTATACCGCTACACCATTGTACTAGCGCTATTTGGAATCGAACCAAATACGGTATACTACCTCACCGTACACACCACAAGGGCGTAAAAGAAGCAAAGAAAGTCTTTCGATATTCATGTATACCAAGCAACAGTTACATAATGGCACACGCTTGAACGGAGTTGTTTCCGTATTGTGGAAGATTTCAACTAAACCAAGTCGGGTAATATATACAAATACACAGTTATGTGTGGCTTGGTCAACACCACCACCATCATCATCTATGCGGCATGGTTTATTTCGAGAACAAGGAAAATGATCAAGTTTGTCCTGTCACAAGTTCATCCGATTTAAAGGAATGAACGAATCTGGATTCTTCTTCGCTTTTTCCAAGTTTCTGTCTGTTTTCTAGTGGTCATCTCCCACTATGTAAATGTTGTTATTTGAATGGACATATAACCTTCCAAATACACCACACCGTCCTTGATATCAAGAATCACCATCATACCAAACTTCATCATATACAACAACAGTTTACATATGCGTCGTATTTATATGTGTGTTGATAAAATACCGTTCCCCAAAAGGATTCAATCCCAAAACGCCAACAAACCCACACCCGCCGTTGTGCCGCACTGTTGGGTCTGGGGAAGAAAAAAAAGGAGAGAGAAAAGTCCAGATAAAATTTTTCGAAT